CCCCCACCGCCCCCGGCCCCGCCTCTGACCCGCGCCTCCCGCAGCTGCTGGGGAGTTCGTGCTCATCCCGCTGCACGCGGCGCCGCACCAGGCCGTGGCGGAGATCGACGCTCTCTACGACGTGTACCTGGACGTGATCGACAAGTGGGGCACGGACGTAAGCCCCGCCCCCGCCCCGGGGACCTGTGCGCTCGTGCGGGGCAGGCTTCGCGCGGTACTCGCGCATGCGGGGGTGTGGTGTGGTGTGGTGTGGTGTGTGGGGTGTGGGGTGTGGGGGGTGGGGTGGGGGGGGTGGGGTGTGGTGTGTGGTGTGTGGTGTGTGGTGTGTGGTGTGTGGTGTGGTGTGGTGTGGTGTGGTGTGGTGTGGTGTGCGGGCTCAGCCCCGGCTCCGCGGCCCCCGCAGGACTTGCTGTTCCTGGGCGACTTCAACGCCGACTGCAACTATGTGCGGGAGCGCGACTGGCCGTCCGTCCGCCTGCGCAGCAGCGAGGTCTTCAAGTGGCTCATCCCCGACAGCGCCGACACCACCGTGGGCAACTCGGACTGCGCCTACGACCGCATCGTGGCGTGCGGCGCCCGCCTGCGCAGGAACCTCAAACCCCAGTCTGCCGCCGTGCACAACTTCCAGGAGGAGTTCGGCCTGGACCAGGCTCAGGCGAGTGCGCGAGCGCGGGGCGGGGCGCCCCGCTTCTGAACACAGTGCCCTTAGCGGCTCGGTTCTGGCTGAAAGGATCGTCTGGGATGGCAGAAGATGCCCTTGGTCTCTTCTCGCGTGGGGTCTCCAGTCCGGGCCCCAGCCCACCTGCAGGCTGCACGGTGGGCTCCATCCCTGGCTGGCGTGGGGGTGCAGGGGTGGGGGGGTGGTCGTTTTCCCAGGTGGGGCCCGAGGGAGGACAGGCTGCCCAGCGGGCCGCTCAGGCTCCACCTCCTCTCCCTCCAGGCCCTCGCCATCAGCGACCATTTTCCTGTGGAGGTGACCCTGAAGTCGCACTGAAAACACTCATGGCCAGGAGAACAGCCCTACAGGGTTCCTTCTGGGGGTCTGGCTAGCCCCCAGCAAGGCCACAGGGCAGGGTTGGCTGGACAAGCGGCTACAAAACATCACAGGACCACCCAGTCTGTTTGCCCATCTGTGAAATGGGCTACTCTACCTACCTCATAGGGTTGTGAGGAGCAGCCTGCAGAGCGCTGGGCACACGGCTGCACTCAATAAACACGAGTGAGTGCTCAGCCAGGACCACGCTGGTCGGCTTCCAGGCCTCTGTGTCCTTTCTTAGGACTCAACCCCTCTGAGGCCCAAACTTTGGTCCTGCAGCCCAGTGGGTCCCGGGTCCCCACCCCCTAGAGGACAGGGATGGCCCGGCCTGCCCATTCACTCCCTGCTCAGGACGGATGCCCTCCAGACCAGGCTGGCTCCAGAACGCTGCTCCCATGCTTGCTAGGGGAAGCTTGTCTCTTTCTTTATGCAAACTATACATGCTTCCAAGAACCCGTGCTGAGTGCAGTTGGGGATAAACACACCTTCGGCGTTGACACGCAAGGTCAACCTCCTGGTCCCTGATGTCCCTCCTGCCCCCCGATTCTCGGGTCCTGCAGACCTCGCAGACACTTGTGTGTATGAGGGGTCCTGTCCTGCCCAGCAATGCAGGGGGCAGGCAGTCTGGAGCCCGCCCCGCCCCGTCCGTGGGCCGCCTTGGGACATCTGGGGAGCCCTTCAGTGGTGAGCAGGCTGGACTCCTCACACAGCCCAGGCAGGTGGGACCCACACACCCCATGTACATACATAGCTCCTTCCATGGGGCCACCCTGGGTCGGCTCCTTCTTAGGAGCCCTGGGCTGGGCAGGGGCTTGTCAGGGAGAACCGCAGCCTGTGTCCCGGGGAAGCCTGTCACCCGAGGACTGGGAATGTGCAGAACTGGGGTACAGGGGCCCAGTGAGGTTTCTGGTTTTGGAAACAACTCCACTTGGGTCTGGGAAGTGGCCTGAACCGTATGGAGGAAAAACCTTTGTTTCAAGAGTCTGGACGAGTTTTCTGGTATGATCTTTCCAAAGACAGACCAGGGCTCCTGCAGCACAGACCCACCAGTACTGCCTCCTGCGCCCCTTGCCGAGCCCCCGCCCCAGTCTCTGGACCATTGCGCTCCCTCTGTCTCAGTGGGCGGATGTGGTGGCCAAAGAGCTTTCCTCTGGGGGGTCCTGTGTGGGTCACTGGCCCCCAGCAGTCAGGCAGCTGGGTAGCTAGGGATGGGACCACACCAGGACTTTGTTCCCACTTCTGCTCTGGCAAAGGGGACGCTCAGCGGCGGCTCTCACTGAGGTCCAGCACGGCCTGGCCCACCTGCCAGCAGAAGAGGTGCTCATGGGGGGCGGTGGGCCCTTGGGACACTGGCTCCAGGGAACAGGGCTTTCTAAGGAGATCAGCAAAATGAAGAGCTACAAGTACTTTTACATTGGAAAATAGCTTGTTTAAAACCCCTCGGAATCAGAGGGCCCCCGGAGGGGTGCATCCGGCTCCAAGCCCCATGGAGGCGGCCCAGCCCTTAGCCTTTCTTCTGTTTGAGCTTTTCTAAGTACGCATGCAGAGACTTCTGGATGGAGTCTTTGCAGATGAAGCGGACAAAGTTCTGGATGTCCGCGTCGCGCTCTGTGAGCAGGCGGTCAGCTGTGGGCTTGCGCATCAGGGTCTTGGTCAGCTGTCGGGCGTGGTCTACAGAAAAGGGCCCGAGTGTGAAAACCCATTCCGACACCGTGGCATCACTCCCAACCTTTCCAAGAGAGTTCCAGCAGAAACTGGTAGGAAACTTAGGACATACAAGTAAACAAGCAAAATGAAAACCAGCCCTTCCCTGCTGCCTACCCAGAAGCAGAGAGGGTGACACTGTGAAAACTGCCTATTACCCCATCCCTCTCATTCCCCAATATTACGGGGGGTACTTTCCACATCACTAAGTACTCGTTCACAGCACAGTTAGGTCAGCGAACCTGGCCCCCCCATGGCCTAGGAGCTAAGAATGGTTTTTACACTGTCATGGAGTTGAAAAAAGGACGTTCTGTGACCCGTGAAAATTATATGCAATTTAAGTATCAGCACCTACACGCTCACTGGGTCACAAACTCTCTGGTTGCCCTTGTGCTCCAGCACCACCGTGTGGCCGAAACCAAGTTACCCACAAGGCCGACCATCTCCCTGGCTCTTGAGAGACAGTCTGCTGATCGCTGGACTCCCATCAGAACCAGCCCAATTTCTATAAACAGACAATAGTCTGTGCAGTGGGTTGGGAGTGGACCTAACCACAGCCCTAGAATCTGTGCATGTGGCTTTATTTGGAAAAGGGTTTCTGCGGATGAAGTTAGGATGAGATCATCTTGGATTTAGGGTGGGCCCCAAATCCAACAACGAGTGTCCTGACCAGAGAAAGGAAGAGGGGAGCCTGGAGACACAGACACGCAAGGAAGCCACATGGAGGGAAAGCAGACTGGCACGATGCATCTACAGGCCAAGGAGCGTCTGGAGCCGCCAGGGGCTGGATGAGGCAGGAAGGAACCTCCCCTAGAGCCTCTGGGGAGAGCACGGCTCTGCCCAAACCTTGATTTTGGACTCCTGGCCTGCAGACTTGGAGAGAATGCATTTTTGTGGTTTTAAGGACCATACCTCCCCCTCCCCCTGCCATGTGGTAATTTGTTGCAGTGGCCCCAGGACTAAGTCAGTCTGCTGTTACAAACGGCACGTTCCTGATGTGCACACAGCCCCCTCCCAGGAGAACCCCGTGCTCTCACCAGGAGCATCAGGCTGTGGGGGGTCCTGGCTGCCGGTCCTGGCCCCTCCCCATGCTCCTCACCTGGAATGTCCAGCCACTGGGCCATCACCAACCGCGCCGTGCTCTGCACCTGGTCTTCGGGCACAACCTGGTCCACCACGCCCACCCGGAGGGCCTCTGCCGGCGGGAAGAGCAAGCCCAGCTGCAGGGCGCGCTCCGCGCTGCGGTGCCCGATTGTGTTCACCAGCGTGTCTTTGAACCTGGAACACATGCACTTGTTGGGGGCTCCCAGGTGGACGGGCTTGGGCCAGGGCGAGGTGAGTGCGGGTGCAGCCCCCAGCCTTACCAGAAGGGGGCGACAATGCCCAGGAGGGTCTCGTTCAGCCCTATGGCGTACTTGGGGTTGTTCGCCAGGACCCGGTAGTCACAGGTGAGGGACAACAGGCAGCCTCCGGCTGGGCTGACGCCCTGCAGGGGAAGAGACAGCACATGGCTTTGCGTGCTGCTGTGGGCGGGCTGGGGGGGGCGGTTCCTGACTGTATTCCAGACAGCCAGGTCCCAAGGAAGAGCCCCCCCTCCCCGTCCCCGTGGTGCTGCACCCACACTGGCTGGGCTGGGTGTGCACAATGGGGACTCGGGCTTGGCTCTGCCCGGAACCCTTCTGACGGGGTCGCAAGCCGCCTTTCTTTTCAGTTTTTGCCGGGATGCTAAAACTCTAAGTAGTTAGCCGAAGTGCCCCCCAGGACCCATCTCCATCCCCAGCAGGACGTCCCAGGAACCCCAGACTCACACTGCCCTCACCTCACACACCCCGCGGCCTCAGAGGCGGCCTGTGGAGTCTCCCTGACTCTCGCCAGCCTCCTGTCCCCTGGTTCAGACCCTCTGGCACCTCACTGGGGGGCCCCCGCCATGTCGTCAGGCACACGGCTTCCTGAGCCTTAGCAGACCCTGCCTCCCCAGGCCAGGCCAAAGCAAGGCTTCCAGGGGTGAATCTGACCCCCTCCTTGTGCCCCCTCCCCATGCAGCCCTCTTCCTGGGCCCTGCCCCCACCCTTGTCACCTGGTCATACTGACCTCTGCACCTCTGAGGGCCTCCCCCACCCTTCCCGAGGGCAGGGCCCCGTCTGCCCCCCCCTCCCCCCGCAGTGAGTCAGCGGGGCTGGGCTGAGGCGCGGGGGCACTCACGTTGATAGCAGCAATCACCACCAGGTTGGACAGGTAGAACCGAAGCCACATTTCCTGCACCGCCTTCCAGTACTCCGCGTAGTGCTCGGGGTCCCTCCCACACATCTCCGTCAGGTCCAGGCCGGCGGAGAAGATCCCGGGGCAGTCCTGGGGGGCGAAGGAGCCAGGGGCCCCGTCAGAGTCCGTCCCTGGCCAGCCAGAGGTCCCGGGGGATGCTCCAGAGGCGATGGGGAGCCGGAGCTGGGGCTTCGGGGCACACGTTCTGCTCTCCCCCCAAGGTCAAGCCAGCTGCAGACGGCCAGGCCAGGCCGGGAGGTGCTGCTGTCAGAACACAGCAAGGCAAGGAGGGGGCCGCGATGAGCCGAGAAGCCAGACCCCTGCCCTGGGGAGTGGCTGAGAAGGCGTGTGTCCTGCAGATGCCCCAGGTCGTGACACAGCCACCAGAGGGGAGAGGAAAGCGAACACAGGCAAGCAGCGACAGCTGGGACAGAGGATGGCTTTCCAGCCAAGAACTGCTGGCCCAGACGGCAGACCAGGGTGGGGGTGGGGAGGGCAGTAGAGTGACCGAGTGACTGTCATGGGAAAAGCCTACATGTGGGGCTCCTGAGTGGTGTCACGATGTCCCTAAGCAAACGAGAATGAGACTCCCATGGCCGGAGCGTGCCCGGGGCTGGGATGCTGGGGGCTGGCACGCCCTGTTACTGACCCACGAACCAGGGTCAACAGCCGCATATCTCTGCGCAGTGAGGGGATGTGTAGAGTATGGGTGACGTCCCCACATCCTTCTATCAAGCGACAGGAGCAGGTTGCGTGCAGGGTGCAGGACGCGGTTCCTCGGGGCCCCCCGTGTAGCTGCGCGTGCGCCGCCCCTGGAGGCTGACCTCTCGTGTCCCCGCCCGTGTCCCACCGCGGCCTCGGAAGGCCACACAGGTGTGGCTGCCTCTTACAGACGCCCCTGAGCTGCGGCAGGGATGGCAGCCGCGGGGGCCGAGCTCCTCGTGCTCTGAGCATATCCAGCATTTCTGCCTTTTTCCTGATCCTTCCCCGCCCGCTGGGGACCCCTCCCCCTGCACCCCACCCCCAGCCTGTCCGCACAGAGGCTTGCCCACAGTCCTAGCGCTTGAGGAAAGCAAAGGCAAAGAACGCTGTGACAGAAGCCGCCGTCATCCTAGCGGGGGAAGTGCTCCGCACCGACTAGAAAGAGGGAAATTTCTGCGATTCAGCAACAGGTCTGGAGGGAGCCAAGCAGTGTCTTGGAAAAAGACACAGACCCGCCTTTACCCCTCCCCCCCACC